TAATGTAATGCTTCCATTGTTTTGTGCTCAAGTCCTAGATAGGGCAGGTGGGAGCTTCTTCACATTGGCTGCTGAGAAAAGGGTTCATTTTGGAGTCCAGGTGTGACTGGGAGGTTGATGTTACTGCAGGTAGGGAATTCAGTAACAAGTGGAGATAAGTAAGCTGCCAATTTAACTGCTGACCCAAAATCTTTAGTGACCTGCTTCCTGAACTGTAAAGGCTTTTCTATGATTGTATTAACCAAGGAAGCCCACCCTGTAGGCTGTTATGCTGTTGTTTGTACACACAATAAAAAAAAAGATACTTTCCCAAGGAATGAAAAAAATCAAGTTGATGACATTTTGGGGTTTGTTTCCGTGGTACCTATGGTATATATTTCCCCAGAAGTTGCCGGTTCCTGCCGATTTATCTCCCTAGGCAGGCAAGATTGTAAAATATTTGTAAGTATTCCTAAGCCCCACTTTAATTTTCTCCTTTGGCTTTTAAGTGGGGCAAACATGTTTGTACTAGAAGAGAATCCTTCATTAGTGGGAAATGTAAATTAAGTCTAATGCTACAGATGCCATTAAAAGGGGGATGTCCTTTCAAAAGGAGTGTAGGTAGGATGCTGCTCTGCAGACGTGAGGCACCTTGGCTTAGGGCTATGTCTGGGATGGGGCGGATAGAAAACACACACCGCAAGAACAGGTGCAGGGTGCGATTCACTGAAACACTGACTCTTTGTTCTACACAAACCAGAGTCAGAAGCTCAGACACAGACCCCGGGCTGCTGTTTGGATGGCCTGCACCTCCGCTGTGTTTAGATCTCTGGTGGGCATGTGAGGGAGAAGATGGTGGAGGAGTGCACCCAGCTTCATAGTGGAGGTGGGTGATGAGAGCTGCATATCATCGAGTTCAACCAGTTTTTTTAGTTTTTCTCAAACCAGAGTGCATTCAAGCTACCCTGAGGAGCTTGGAGAAAACCCATTCAGGCTGTACTTCCTATAGGTTCTAATTCTGTGGACCTGAGCTCCTGATTATTTCTTCAGGTTCCCTGATGGTTCTAATTTCATCCAGGATTAAGTGCCTCTGGATCTAGCAGAGACAACTATCTGTGACATCTTCATGCAGCCATATATGCTTGCTTGTCATGTGATTCTTAAATTGGCATATTCTATATTATAAGATAAATGTATGGGAAAATTACAGACAGGCTTGGGTGGCAAACTTGGGTGAACTTCTTAAGCTGTTCAAGTCTAGCTTTGTCATCTACAAAATGAGATTAATAATACCTCATAGTTTTTCCAAGGTTAAGCAGTATGTTGCATGTAAAATAATCAGTACAATCTCTAGCACACGGTACAAACACATTTATTATTTAGTAACATGCAGCATGTTACAGTAGAGTGGTGACTTTGGAATCAATCAAAATTTTCTTCTAGCCCTGGCTGTATAACTTTCCAGCTCTGGGACGTTAAGTGAATTCCCTAATTTCTCTGACCCTCAGGGCTCTTGTCTATAGCTGTATGAACAGGTAGGTACACTTCCTAGTGTGGGAAAGTGCTTAAGCACAAAGGCAGTGCTTAGTAAGCATTTCTGCCACCTTCCTGCTCATTCTGTTTTCTTATTACATCACAAGGCAGTGGAAAAATCTAGTTTTGAGAACATCATTGACTTTGGTTTGGCCAGGTTGTGTGGAGAAGACACTGTTACAAATGGCCTTTGTGGCTGTGACTGTCTTTGGGAGCATGACCCTTGGAGCCCTGAGGGATGGTTGGGCCTGAATTGGGACCAGCGTCTGCAGACAGAGTTGGGGTGCCCTGCGCTGCACTTCCATAGCAGTACTTGGCTTGTGTCTCCAGTGTGCATTATGCTGAACTTGTGATGACCTTGTCCTTTGTAAGCCAACATACTGGCTGGGTGCGATTCTGTCCTTTTTACCTGAATCAAGCTTTGCTTGGGATGCAAGGGTATGCTGGGACTTAAAAAGGAGCCCCCCCCCAGGTCTTAGAATTCTACTGCACAGCCTCTGTTGTGGTAGTCCCTAGTCTCCTAGCACATGCGCCCTCTAGTTGCTTACGGAACTTTTTGACTTCTAAGTATACTTACCCATTTTAACATCTTCATTTCTACTTTGTCAGTCTTCAGAGGGTAGAGGACAGAGGCTGAAGATGACAGAAGTTGTGAGCTGAACTCTTAACTTATCAACACATTTGGTAGTTGTTGGTTCCTGTTTGTAATAGAGCAGGTCATACTTCTGCTGATTGAAGTGATTCAGTCTTTTTCTTTTCATTTCTCTCTCCCCTTGTAGCCTAAGTTTTTAATTCAATCCAAGAAGAACATTAAGACGTGTCCTTTAAGAGCTGGTTAAAAAGTGTGCGTTAAGTCCAGTGATGCTAAAATGTTTAATTTAGACCCAACCTCACAGACTACTATAGTTTAACTTTAGTGGGCACTTAACTTAGGAAAAAATGGAAATAATATATGATTGCTTTCCAGTTATCCTTCTGAGTTATGCCATTATTTTTTTTTCTGGAAGTTCATTTATGAATATTAAAGGAGTGCAGTTTTCTAACACATGTCTAAAATATGAGATCTGCATGGAATCATTTAGGGAATTATTTTCTATGGTTCATTAAATTGGAAAGGAGAAGAAATTTGAATTAAAGTCTAATTTAATTTGTATTATTACTAGTCTTCTCTCTATGGTCTGTGTAAAGTCCTGTCTAAAAGACTCAATGCATCTAGTTTAAGTAATTGTTGGAAATTGGAGATAAAGGGGAGAAAAGAATCATCTCATCTGGGCATTCTATTTGAGATATCGTGGTGAGAACCACTGAGAAGAGGACACTGCATCAATTGGACCAGCCACCCAAGATTATAGAGAAAATTGATGGGAAATTGGGAAGAAGAAAGAGACTTCTTATGGGTTTAAAGTGTTCTTTAGATCCTGTGTCTTTCAGTAAATTGATTTCTAAATTAGAGGATGGTATCTTGTTCACATGTCTGTTTCTGGAACTCCCATGTTGCCGGAATAAGAGCTCAGTAGGTGCTTCATAAGGAACGTAAGGAAAGTTGGTTGCCACAGGAGTGGTGAGATGAAGCTCAGAAATGCTTGAGAGGAGAAGCAGAACCCAGGGAGTCCAGGATGGAATGAAAACAGCTGAGTGATTGAATATCACGGAAAGAATGTTGAGTGGAGAAGGTGCATCGTCAATGTTTCTTATGCTGCTCTTTCAGGGAAGGGCTGGGAGAGAAAGTTTGTGAGGTGCTTTAGAGCAGTGATTCTGAGTCCTGCAAGTTGGCCCATGGCATTCTCCCAGTAAAACTCCATGACAGTCCTTTCACAAGGTTTGTGAAAAAATGAGGTGATGGATGGTCAGTTCCTCCATGTTCTTTTTTAATAAGTCTTTGGCACTTGCAATTTTTAGTCATAAAGTGGTCTCAAAAAAAAAAAAAGTACAGGCTTATGGTAGTTATTTTCAGTTGAATAAATCAGTCCTTTCTGGTACTGTTTGAGAGCTGCTGTCTGGAACATTTAGGAAACACAGCTCCCTGGGGACGAGTCGAGAGCAGGCTTCTGAGGCGTTTCTGACAACAAATCTAGATATTGTGTGCTGTCAAAGGCAGTTCCTGGTCGGTTCCCTGTGGGCGGGGGGCTCATCTGACACTGTTGTCTAGTTGGCATGGAAGCATCCCGTGGCTTTATTGACTCACCTTACCAATCTTTTGTAACAAGCCACCCACAGGGGAAGTGTCTGTGAAATGGAATTGTGCAAGTCTAACACTAGTGTCAAGACAGCCAGATTGGGGCTGGCAGCAGAGAGAAAGGAAGCCGTTCACTTTCTTNAACATAGGGTTGGGAGCTCAGTAAATGTTCATTTCTCTGTTCTTTTCCCTAAACCGCAACAGGAAAACATAATAGTTTTCTATTGTGTTTAAACACATGTGGGTGATGGAGCCGCTTACTGGATTGTTAGGTAGGAAAAATTAGCTCCTACAATTCAAGTCATTCAGCAAATACTCAATTGATACAGAGATATAAATAATCTGTAATAAATGAATAGAAAAATTCAACACTTCTGTGTGCTAGAGCCTGTGAAAGCAAAGGTGGGTAAGCTGCCAGCTCCCCCTCAAGGAGCTCATGGATTTGTTGGGCAAATGCACGTGTGGAAGGACAGTCAGTCAGGCAGAGCACCCGGGAGCCGCCCCAGAAATAGTCAGAAACAAGGAGCTCCAGAGAGGGGCAAATCCCAGTGGAGGGGGACAGAGCCTCACCCAGCAGGTGACTGCACAGACCTGGGCTTCGCTGGGGTTCAGGGCCGTGTCAGGGAAGGTGAAGGGCGTCCTGATGTGGGGAAGGGTGTGAGCAGAGGCAGGTATGTGTTGTAGGTTCTTCCGAGAAGTGGATTTCATGTTGAATCACAGAAGCCACGTGGGGATTTCGAGGCAGAATACTAGAAATCTGCTGGAGGCCGGCTCTGGTGGGCCCAGAAGGGCAGGCAGGGGATTTTTCATTGACTCCTGTAAGCAAAGAGAGACCCCCCCTCAGCCGAGGGGGCTACACAGGGCCTTCTGTTCACGTGCGGTTTGCGGGATGGCCTGAGAGGGTGTGACTGGAGCCTGGGGAAGTCCGCTGAGAGGCTGAGACAGCAGTCCAGGGGTGCACGGGTGAGAGCTGGAGTTAGATCAGTGAAAGGGGAAATGGAAGGGAAAAGAGAGTGATATCAAATTCATGTTGAGAATAAAGCGACACAGACACAGATGTCCGTTGTTCTGTTGCAGTTTTTAAAGCTGTGGAAGCCATTCTGGTAGAATATCCTGTCCTGTTGGAGTGAATGTTCACCAGATATTTACCTTGAATGAGAATAAGGATGTTAATCCTCTGTGGCCATTGACATTTTTTGGCTCAGACAATTGCTGGACTTGGCGATGGTTGCATGTATTGTGTCCTTAATTGAACAGTGGTACTGAAAAACTGTTTGGTTCTAATTTTTCCCTTCTCTTTTCTTCCAAATAGACTCTATCAAGAAGAATTTCCAATCCATACCTCGAACATACTCCATCCCAGGTATGATTCTTTTCTGCCTTACAGCATTTCTGAAACAATAGTCCACAAATCCCGGTGTAGTACTTGCTAGTTAGAAATCTTCCCTTTGCTCCTGATCATGCTGTCTCCTTCACATGGAATGACATGGCCAAAGGTGTTTGGAATGCTCTGTTAATTGTCATGTAGAAAGATGTTCACTCAATAAGGAAAAAAAATTTCCCCTACTTTCCAAGTCCTTTACATGAATGTGTTATGAATATGGTAGAGTTTGTATATAATGGAAATATTTTCAATTTGCTGAATGATAGAAATGCTGTATTTAAAAAATAGGGGATGTTTTACTCTGAAAACTTGGTGAAAAGGGGGATTATTTATAGGTATCTAATAGTAGAATATCCCCGATACTCACTGAAACAAGGTGGGGCTGCCTTCATTGTGTTGTTAAAAAATCAGCTGACTGAAAAAAAAAATCAGCTGACAGGGTTGTGTATTTTAGAAAGACAGGAGACTATGAACTTTGTGAGGACAGAACCTTTGGTCTTGTTCACTGCTGTATCCCCAGCATCTAGAACGGGGCTGATTGCTGCTCCGTGTTTTTGAATGACTGAGTGAATGAACGCTGTCAGGACTAGTCAGGTAGTACTTTCTGTTGTCTGACTTAAGTATTTTTTTTTTAGTGGGTTTAGCATGTTAAAAATAAAATCATTTCCTGTCCTCATCTTCTCATTAGGTTGTGTTTAGGAGGTGATAGTATGAAAATTAAGGGAGTATAAGGATGGGATTGAAGTGTTCAGGATTAAGTTATAGTCAATATATTATCAATTGTTTGCCTTGGGAAAAGATAAAAATATTCTGTCAAAACTTTGTGGGTGCAAAAAGAGTTCAGCAAGAAATAAGTGAACAGATATAAGCATGCACCCTCAATATATCTTCATTTTCATGAGGCTTTACTTAGGAAGAGAGTTGATTTCATTGTGAGGCAACATTAACCTGTGGATGAAGTTGCCAGTTACAGAGAAAGGAGGTAGTTTATAAAGTGGGACATAGACCTCTCCAGACCTAAGGGATACCCTCCTTCATCCTCCAAGAATCAGAGATGCATGCAGGCAAATCAGAAGATTAAAAAAAGAAGTTATATGAAATTTTTATCTGCTAGATGCAGTCATGAAGTAGATGAACCCAGGATGCTTGGAACTAACTATGAACTCTGCAGTTGAGTGAAGCTTAAAAGCAAAGCAGACAAACTATATCATGGTGTGAGATGGTCACTAGATAGGAAAAAATTTAATTTTCCCATCTTACAGGATGTTTACATATATGCATTATCAATATGGCAGAATTCATATAAAAATGTTCTTTAGTTTGCTGTATTGATAGAAACATTGTATATAAAGAAAAAAGAAACAGGTATTTTGCCCTGGAAATTTTGTGTAAAAGGAAATTATTCACAGTTAAAGCAGTTTAGCATTTGGAAAGTAGTTATTATAGCCTAATGGCTTAAATGGTCCGATAGTGAAAATAAATAGAATAGGTAGTTACGTAGCTGTTATCTTAGCTACGTATGGTAAGATATAAGTGTTTTAAGCTTAGGGACTTGGCCATAATTTTTCTGTATAGTGTGTCATCGGCAGCTTACAAATTGTCACATTATTGTTCTGCATTCTCATGAATCTTTTGTCTTTTCTATGTAGATTTATGGGGAGAATTCTTCTTGTGCAGGAAGAGCGTTACGGAATATTATCATCGTTCAGGCAGCTGACCTGATAAAGGACAGAGCGAACCTCAAGGGGTTTTATAGGTAACACCATTTCCTAACACCTTGTCAGAAATTCTCCTTGAGAAAGAAAAAAAACTGAAAACGTGTTAAAGTCATAACCTTGATCACAGAGAGATGGGCTATTATGAGGAGTAGGAGGGTTGCTGGGCTTGAAGTGTCTGCTTGGGAGATTGGCAGTGACTTTTCTCTTAATTAAACAAGTGTTGGACAGCTGGACTCCTGGTCTGAAGATCAGGCGAGGAATGCTCAGCTGCAGGTGTGCTTGGGCTCCTGAGAGTCTGCTCTGCTTCCTCAAAGACGTGATGTTTTATAGTGTTTTTACTGGGCGTGTGCTGTGTTGGGCCTTCTGTAAATACAGGCCCCCTCTCTCAGAGCTCTGTGAGGATCCTTTGGAGGCCCCTGGGGGAGAGGGCCACTACTCTGATTCTCCAGGTGGGAGTGAGCTGCCTCTTCAGGACCTTCAGGTGTGGAGGAGGGCCAGCTGGGCATAGGGATGGCACTTCTTTGCCTTGGCAGGTGAATAAGGGTGGAGGTGTTAGAGTAAATGGATGGGCATATGGTCAGCTATAAAGTACATCTGGACCAAGAAGATGGTCATGGAGAAAGTTCAGGGCACATGTCTTCATTTCATGGAGCCATTTAAAGAAATAACAAAAGTAAATGACCAGCTTTTTGTGAATATTTTTCCAAGTAAAGGTATTAAACTACAGCAAACAATACTAAAACTACAAAAATAACCAGAGAAAGAACCACTATTATTTATTATCATTATTTGTTCTTACAAAAATGAGATTACAATACCATGAAGAATAGGAAAGAATACTCAGAACAAATGATGCCAAAAAAAGTAGGAAAGATTCTCAGAATAAAGACGTTTCTTTGAGTTAACTAAGTTTAACTTTATCACCATCTCCTTATGGTATTTTCTTTTTTTTCCCACTTGCCACAGATGGGAAAAATTTCATCATGGCCTAGATTTGGGGGGATAGTGCTTCCTAACCTGTTTGAGTAAGAAGGACCCCCCTCCCCCACCTTCTCTATTGATGCATAGTTTACATACAGTAAAATGCACAAATCTAAGAGTACAGCTGGGTGAATTTTTAATTATTACACATACTAATGTGACTGCTATCTACAGCAAGATCTAGGAAGTTTTCACACCCCAGATGATGTCTTCATGTCCCATCCCTATCAGTAACTGTCCCAGGCCGACACTTGTTTCTAATCAGAAACTTGGCAGGATCTGTAATCTTAAGCACCACTGAGCAACTACACAGTGGAGATGAGAGAACTACAATGAATTAACACTTTAAAATCCCATGTTTAATTAATCTTATTAGTATTTATGTAGGTTTTGACGCCTTCCACATAGGTTAGACATGATTCATTCTGTTGAGAAACAGTGCTTTTGTGTATTGTGAATCTCTTTAAAAAGCTCCAAGATCACCTCTACTCACTTCCTCCCATAATGAATTCAAGCCCCTAAATCTGAAAATCACTACCTTAGGGCCCAGGTTAAGTAATTGCAACAGGCTGGGATAGGGGCTGTGAGTATAGTTTCATTACTTCATGGAAAATCTCTCTCTCTCTTTTTTTTTTTCTTTAATAGATGATAGTATCAACTTTAGGCAAGTCTAATTTTTTTTTCTTAAAAACTAAAACTGCCTGTACAAGCATACCTCAGAGATACTGTGGGTTTGGTTCCAGACCACCCCAGGGCAATGAGTAGCACAATAAAGTGGGTCACATGGATTACTGTGTTTCCCAGTGCATGTAACACTTATTATACCATAGTCTATTAAGCGTGCAATTGCATTATGTCCAAAAATAATATTCATCCCTTAATTTAAAAAATACTTTATTGCTGAAACTTGCTAATCATCATCTGAGTCCTCATCATGATAACAAGTTCTCATCTTCTTGTTAGTGGAGGGTTTGAAATGTCGTGAGAAGTACCAAAAGCAGAGACACAAAGTGAGCAAATGCCATTGCAAACATGGCACTGATAGACTTGCTATATTCAGCTTGTCACAAACCTTCAGTTTGTAAACATACTATCTGTAAAGTACAGCAAAGGAAAGTGCAATGACATGAGGTCTGCCTATGTCAGTCTTTGGGCCTAGTTGTGAGCAGACTCAAAGGATTCATTTTCGATCCTGTATAAGACTGTGTGTAGGACTGGTCCTTGCTATCAGTTTTGTTCCTGATTGGATATAGACTGAAAAAGAATTGGAACATGTACGTTAATCAGGTTCATGGAAAAGAACCATCCATCTGAGCAAGAGCATAGTTAGAGTTTATTGAGAGTAGAATGTGGTGAGAGTGTGGGTCTATAGTCTAAAGACTGATTTATGCTCTGGGTTTAGAGGCAAAGTGCTAATATGATAGCCTAGGCTGAGTCATTTTCATTTGTCTGGTAGTAAATTGAGGCAGAGTACCACATGAGAATTACTTTCACAATTTTGATATGTTTTCCATTCATTTGATACTATAGGAAAAATCATACTACTTTTTTGAGCCTTCATGTAAGCCTCTAAATACCACTGTCCCATTGAAGGCGATGAGGGTCTGTCTCTACTGCTATGAACTGATTACTAAAACTGTAGCTGGAGATGGAAGGAGGCCAAGGAAAACCAAGTGTTCAACTTCAGCGATTAGTAAAATTCTTGTTTTGCCGTGGCAATCACATTGACCTTGGAGCCATCACCTCCGTATCATAACGTTCCCATCTAGCATCGCAGCATTGGTGAGATCTCCGTGTACTCAGAACAGCTTCTGCATTCAGTACAAGACTGAAGATGCGTGGGGAGTAAGAACTGCTGTGGGTGTTCACACTCCTCCCTTCCAGGCATCTCTCGTTTCTCCACCGCCCTCCTCTCAGCCCTGTAGACTCAGGGATTTAAGGTGGATTGTTGCTGACCCGGCCCACGAGTCAAGGAGGTTGTTGGTTAACTGCAGTGGCCACTCACCTCATTTTGTTTGCTTTGGTGGTATTGTTGTTCACTTGCCAAGTTGGGTGCGACTCTTTGCGGCCCTGTGGACGGCAGCACATCAGCCTTCCTTGTCCTTCACTACCTCCCAAAGTTTGCTCGTACTGATGTCCATTGAGTTGGTGAATTGGTGGTATTAGTGATAGTGTTTATCTTTATCCCAGTGATATTTTCCTTGGTGCAAATGGATTGTCCAAAGCAATTTGAAACACAATATGATAAATTGCAGGTGGGGGTAGAAAGAGATTGTGTACAACTGAAACAGTAGCTTTCTCTGAGAGTGAGAGCTTGATTATTAAGTAATAACTACAGATGACAGCAGTCCTGGCTATACCATGTTTTAGCAAATCGGCTCAGTCCTGCCCACCACCCTGTCCTCCTCGCCCCTGAGACAGAGCGAGACTTTCCCATTGAGAAGGTCGGGCTGAGTCCCTGGCTTCACCTGGCAGCCCATTAGAAGTGACGGCCCCGAGGCTGTGCCCAGCCACCCTGCACCAGAATCTTCATGTTAACAACTCCCACTCAACACAGTCAAGGGAAGCCCTCTTCTGAGAAACCTCTTTCTGATCACCTGTGAAGAAACAAGCCAGTGCATCTGTCTAGTCACTGTTGCAATGTGAAAGTTTAGTTTGTTTAGTAAATGTTTTGTTGTATCCTGCCATGTTCCAGGTGGTGTCAGACACAGAACAGGCTGAGGAGCTGTATGTACTGTTCTGAGAATGAGGATTAAGATGATAAAAGTGCTTTACAAGCCCAAAGATGCTGGCTAATTGATAGAGGTGTTGAGGAATTAACACTTTGAGCATTTACTAATGAAAGGTGTCCTATAGAGTTAGAAGTTAATGTTGATGGTTTGGTCTAATTGCCTGTTCTGTTGCAATCTGTTTTCCTGTATTGTTAAAAAATGATCCATTTATTTGACTGTTCATCTTTTTTTTGTCTTACTGCTAACCTGCAACTGGATTTGTACAGTTGGTACAGCTTAGAATTGCCTTAATGATCTCAGAGTATCTTTCAAATCTTTACCCAAGAAAGTGATATTTTAACTAAAGCTAGAATAATTGTTCAGATATCTCAGCACAAATGTTTACTACCTTATTTCTCCATCATCCAGGAAAATAAGGTATCTCATGGCATTTTGTCATTCTTTTGGTTACTGGGTGATTTCTAGGTATTTGTGATTATGCTGGTCATAAAAGATAGGCACTATTTTTCTGTTCTAGAAATACAAATAAATGTTGGCATTTTTGGTCCTTAAATAAAAAATATAGGAGAAAGTAATTTTCATGATACAGGTGTTTAAAAAAAACATTTGGTGTGACTTTTTTCATATGGGAGAGTGGGTTTCAATGAAATTTCTGCAATTAACCTTATTTCAGAAAGTTTTCTTTATTTGGTTTTTCATCTGAGGCTGATAAAGATGGAAAGGTAGGCATGAAAATACTGTTTGTAATACCCAGATTAGGGCATTCTTTGAATACAGCTGTGTATTTTAAGATGGATTATAGAAAGTCTTTCTTCAGGTGGTTAGCAGAATCTGTCATCCAGGTTTGCAGGTTTATGATCCAGGGTGCTTGGTGGATTGCTTAGACTATATTAAGGTTAACAGTCAAATTTATTGTTCTTTGAGACAAATATTAGGTTTAATCTCTGTTTGAAGAGTAGAAAACAAAACATTATACCCCTCACTGTGGTGTTACTTTGGCTAATCTTGGAATTATCTTGTTCTCAAAGAGACGAGATAAAAATGTGTAAATGGTTGCACCAAAGTTGATCACCACTTATCTTATCAAGGCAGAAACATTGTCTTTCAGTAAAGGACTGCTAAATTTATTCCTTCATTTATTCAAATGTATGTATTCAGAGAATTTGCTGTGTTCCTGGACTATTCTAGTGTTGGAATTTAGTCATGAGTTACATATATATACATAGTCCCTTTCTCCTGAAAATTATTCTCAAGGGAAGAAAGCAGGTATTATTCATTTGGAAAGATGTATAATTGGTAAATGTTAGGTGATGTAAAGAA